TGTAAACACTTATTGTGATTTTTGTAAACACTTATTGTGATTTTTGTAAACACTTATTGTGGTTTTTGTAAACACTTGTGATTTTGGGGTGTGGTGCTGGTAATTGAGTCTGAGAGCTGCTGGGAGGAAGGATCTGCGATGACGCTCCTTTGTGCACCTCTGATGCAGCAGTCTGTCACTGAAGGAGCTCTGCGGTTCAGCCACAGCTTCATGGGGTGGGAGACGTTGTTCATCAATGATGTTATTTTAGTCAGAGTTCCTCTGTCTCCCACCACCTGCACTGTGTGGAGGGGACATCCCAGCACAGAGCTGGACTTCCTGATTAGTTCATCTAACCACTTCCTCTCAGCTGCAGTGAAGCTGCCACTCCAGTTAACCACCCTGGAGAAGATGGCTGATGCCCCCACAGAGTCATACTTTTCGTTAACTATAGGAATGTAAAATAAAGTGTTACTCTTTATTTTATATGAAATGTTTAATTATATTTCACTTATCCCTGTGAGACAAACCCATTGTAAGACAACTGATAAAATAGGAGCTGTCATCAATTTTTTGGCAGCAAAAATCTTGTATTTCTGACAATTAAAATTATTTATTTTAAAATGAGTAAAAGTGTTGATAAATGAGCATTTACTGAGTGACAATATGTCACAATGTGTTTCCAAATACAGCATCACATTCTTCTGATCCTGCACACATTTTTAAGGTATTTAATAAATCCTAGCCTACTTCAAGACTGACAAAACATTGTCGGTTTTTTGGAAACAAACAAACAAACAAACAAACAAACAAACAAAGAAAATGTAGACACACCTTGTTTTTATTACTGCTAGAATATTGAGCATACAGATATCAGTCTGTCAGTGTCATTGTTGTTAAACTCAAATAACGATGCTTCCCGTGGAAAACACAATAACGGGTTGGCTGATCACTTATGTGAATCTTTTTCTTTCCWTAACAAAGTTCCCTGCCCCTGATTTTGAGCATTTATGACGTTACTCGTTCTAGAGGGCGGAACTTGTCTGTAGACCAATAGAATACGTCATTTTCTCGATTGACACTTGAATCGTCCAATCAGTGCTCCTCTTCTTCCTCCTGCTCCTCTTCTGTTGAACCGTGCTGGAAGCTGCTGGAGTTTTGTAGTCGGGACAGATATAACGGCCTTTAGGAGTCCACCAACACGGCGGGGGAACTAAGAGTAGAACCGGACCGTGTCGTTGAGGACCACGGTGTATAACAGCCACAGCCGACCGTACTGGGAGTGACCCAGGCGGACGCCAGCTAATGCTAACTGGCTGTTGAGTGAACAAGCGTCAGTCATGGATGGCTTTTAGCTGCGGTGGATGTCTACTGGCCCAGCTGGGCGACTGTTTGTTGACCAGCATTCCAGGAGGAAATACGGCTGGGCTCGAGATTTATTCCATMCAACCTTTGTGGGTCCACCAGAACCAGCCCCTCCTCCTCAGGTGAGCTGCATCACTATCTGACTGCTACCTGGTGTTAGCCGGTGTTGATGCTGCAGCCTCCACTGATTCACTGAGTCACTGATTCACTGATTCTGATTCTGATTCACTGATTCTGATTCACTGATTCTGAGTCACTGATTCACTGATTCTGATTCACTGATTCTGATTCACTGATTCTGAGTCACTGATTCACTGATTCTGATTCACTGATTCTGATTCACTGATTCTGATTCACTGATTCACTTATTCTGATTCACTGATTTACTGATTCTGAATCACTGATTCAGATTCACTGATTCTGATTCACTGATTCACTTATTCTGATTCACTGATT